AGGCTTTTGTCAGCCTCGCCCGCCGTCAGGCCTCGCAGAATGCCCGTCTCGTAGGCTGTCGTTATCCGCTGGACAAGCTGGCCGATCTGATCTCGCACGTAGCCATTAGAGGGCGAGATAAGACTGGCGACGGGGAACCTGTTGGCAGCCAAAGAGGTGGCGATTTCGGCCAGCATCAGTCCGAGGTGAAGATGCGGCCTGAGCAAGAGTTGTTGGCTGTCGTTGGAGGCGGGGCGGAGGGGCTCAAGGGCTGTGAAACAGGCCAGCAGACCGAATGCCTGAGAGCAGGAGAGCTCGTCGCAGGTGAATGGGTCCGAGTCCGGCTGCAGGCTCGTCTTGGCGTGGATCAAACCGATGGCGATGCTGAGCGTGATTGGGTCGACCGTCGGCTGAAGGACATCGGGAGGCCCAGCCGTTGAGATGTGCAATAGCACGTCAGTGTCGGTCGGATCGAGGCAAAATGGACCGGCGGGCTGTTGGATGGCGTCCTCCAACCGCTGCAACAGGCTCAACAAACAGGCCGTCAGGGGCGGGAAAATGTTGAGCGTCAACACTTGGCGCAGCATGCCGGCCAGACGCTGTTGGCGCTCACGTGACAGCCAAATCGGACAGCGCCCGGCGCTACGACCGCCGTCATCCAACAGGTCAGCCAGTTGGCTGCGCTTCTGCCTCGTCAACTGGGTCCAAACCAAATCGGTCACGTGAATCAGTTGGTCGTGGAGACTCGAGGAAAATAGAAAGGTCCGGCCTGAGGTGACTGTGTCGACCAGCGCCTGTTGAAGATCGCGTACTCGGTCCTGGTCGGCCGGCGCCGCAGGCTCTGAAAGACCTAAGACGCCATTGCTACGGCCCAAACAGGCCAGACAGGCGGTAAAGACGCCGGTGAACTCGGGCTCAATCGTTTCATCGCTGTCCCGCAGGCCGAAGAGACTCGAGCATGGGAGGCTGAGGAAGTGGCGCAGAAATGTGACGGCTCCCGCCAGATCCGGTCCGGCGTTGGCGCTGGCATTTGCGTCGGCCTCGGCGTCGGCGTCGCAGCCGGCAACCAGCCTGGCGACTAGACTCGCTTCTTCGTCGGTCAGCTCAATTCTGGCCTCGGGTGAGTCGTGGTCGCAGGCCTGAGCCGACCGGCGGATCAATTGACTCACCTGATAGGCCTGCCGCAGGTCGAGAGGAAGCCGTTTGCTGTCCGGAGATAGCAACTGCAGCGCCTGCAGCAATCGTAGCAAGTCTCGTCCGGTCGGACCGGCCAAATGGACCGGGTCTCGAGCTCGCCGTCTCACCTCGCGCCCCACCTGCCGCCGAAGTCGGTCAACCTGGCGTCCGAGGCGCAAGCGACTGCGCATGAGGAAGCTCGAGACCTGCCGGCCCTCCGAAGCGGTGAGGCCGACGAAGCCGGCATCGAAAGCGGCCTGCGAGGCGGTGGCAGCTGTTTGACTGAGACGCCGCTGCAACAGCCCCACAACGACCCGATCAGCAGCTGAGACGCCATTCAAGGCGGACCCCGTCTGAGATGTCAGCACGACGGCCAGACTGCAGCTGAGGGCAGCCGTCTCCTCTCGCGACAACCTCAGCCTCGCAGTCGACTCAGGCTCTGCCGACTCCCCACAGCCAGTCAGAATCTGCTCAGCCAGCCTCAAACTGGCCAGCTGGTCGCAGAGTCCGGGACCGAGCCTTTTTGTCGCCGTCGCCACTGTCGGCGTCGTCGTCCTTGTTGCCACGATGGAGAGGGGCGGATCGACGAGCGCTGTCAAATGGTCCAGATACTCGACGTCCAGGTGGACTGGCTGGCCGACCAGGTGCCTGAACCGGAGCCAGACGAAGAGACGACGCAAATGACCCATGGCCAGTTCGAGAGGCCGCAGCTCGAGATCCGCCCCCCTGAGGCTGGCGTCGAGAGCGGAGGCCAGAAGTAGCGCGTCATTCGGAGGCAATGGCACTCCGAGCAGACTGGCATCAATCGCCTGCTGCAGAATTGCCAGGTTGTCAGCTTGGCCGGTGAAGAAGAGACCGTTTCTAGCCGTCCGCTCGGTGGCTGGCGTCGCTATGAGGGCCTGACCGGAGGTAGGGCCAGTTACAAGAGGTCTGGCTAGCTTGAGTCCCTCCGCGAGGCGGGTCAAAAGAAGACTATGCCTCCTGACCAAATCGGGTTGGTCGGCTTCTTCCATAAACACTCCAAAGTAGTCCATCTCCTCGGCCGCGGTGAACGCAGCCGTTGGGCTTGTCAGGCAAAATGAGACAACTGCATAGAAAGCTTTGCGCAGTGTAGCCCAGGCTCTCATCAGATCCTGATAAGGAGGCTGTGACTGGGTCAGTATGGTGTAGACTTCGACAGCCTGATCAATCGTGTCCAGGCATTGGGACGTGGCCCAGCTCAATAATTCGCCTTGGAGACCG